CTCTCTCTCTCTCTCTCTCTCTCTCTCTCTCTCTCTCTCTCTCTCTTTCAGATAATATCCAAAGCTAGAGATTTTGAAGTTTGATGAGAAAATGATTTATAAAAGTTAACACACTGTAAAACAAGTTCTAGCATGAAATTAAAATAGCAATTCATTTCTCAATAGGTCAGGAGAATTGGTATGATATCTGGGTCTATGACCAAGATAAGAATGCTGTTCAAACAAAGGTGGAGCCTTCACTTGGTGTATCAGAAGAAGAAGAGAATGGTCCTGCAAGTCTTGAAAAGGAACTTGCAGTGGGTGTTGTATCACATAAAGTTGAAGAAAATATTACTGTTATGCATAGTATCAAATCAGGTTCAGATGCTAAAACTGAAAATTTGCTACAAAAAGAAGTTGATAAGATAGAGATACCGAATAAGGTTACAGGCGCATCAAGTGTATCAGGTAAAAACATCTTATCCCAAGAGTCAAGTGCAGAAAATGCAGATCATGCTAAAAAGGCACAAACAACCAGTGCAATGCATTTACCAAGAAAATCAGAAATAGGTGAACCTCTTCAAAGTAAGGAAAGTGCATCAGTTGCAAAAGGCAGTAATGTCAATGGTGCTCAGGGTAAAGTGTGCAAGATTCACGTACGTCAGCCGGATGGACGTTTGGTGCCTTACTTCATTCCTGCTCACATGTATTCCTTAGCTTTAAAGATAGCACAAACTGGTAACAAAATACAAGGAAACCAAGAAGGTAGTGTGGATAACAAGCAAGCTAGTCTTGTAGAAAAAACTGGACTGCAACAAGAGGCAAAAGGGTCACAGCAGTCAGCAAGTTCAAATCCTGAAAGTGATGATTTAGTTAAAGTGCAAAAAGAATCAAAAGATATCACCCAGCAGAAGAACTCTGTAGAATGTGAAACAAAATGTGAGAGTGGACAAGAGAGTTCTAAAGGTTCAGGTGTTCCTGTTAAAATCTTCAATATCTCACCAAATAAAGGATCAGTCAAACCTAGTCAAGTGGTAATGAGCCAGTTACCATCTAGTGGTAGCCAGAGTATTCCTAAACTTACTCTGACAACACAAGGTAAGCAGACTGTTGCCCGAGTGTCTGCTGGCAGTCTTTCACAAAATGCATTACAGCAACTTCTTGTAAAAGCTGGACTTAAGGACAAGAAGCCTGCATTAGTGAAAAAATTGTTGAGTAAAACAAATGATGTAAATGGTGAACTAGTGCAATCAGTACAATCTCCAGAGGGTCAGTTGTTATCAGATCAGTCATCATTAATTAAAAAGCCAAATTTGCAATTCATGCCAGTCAAGATTGTTCAGGATAAACAGCCTGGAGGGTCTTCAACAGCAAAGATTGTAAAAAAAGCAATATCTACAGCTAATATAAGATTTGTAACCAACAATGGACAGCTAATTTCAGCAGGACAGCTTGCAAAGGGTATAACAATACCTGTTGCTAGTAAACCAAGTACTGTGACACAAGAATTACCCACTAGCAAATGTATTCTTACAACATCTAGTACCAGTACAACAGCAGCTATTAAAGATGGAACAAGTGTTGTTGTAATGCCAAGTGGACGCATCTTGGCTGGATCAGGAGGTCTACAATTAGTTACTAGCCAGGGAAAGAATACAGTCACACAGCACCCTCCGCTTGTTGTTTGTAGCTCAGCTCAGAGTGGAAAAACACTTCAATTACCACCACTCATAGTAAGAAGTGCTGGAAACAATCGAACCTTATGTACATTGTCGAATACTGCTTCAACAGGAAGCACAGTTAAAAATATAGCAGTAACAGGTGTGTCACTGCTTCGTGGTAATGTTGTTACATCTGTAACGCCTGCAGCTGTTCGAACTTTGCTAAAGCCATTGTGTATTACAACCACTGCTGGGGTTACAGCTACTACTCCTGTTTTCACCAATGTCGCAACTAAGGTCACAAGTATTCCCGCAACTCTAAAAAGTTCTTCAGCAAAAACTTCAGGGAGTGATACAGGAAAAATAATAGTTCCTCCTGTTATAGGCTTACCAGATAAAGTTGCAGAAAGCTCTAGTGAAGACCAAGAAGTCAATGCAACAAAGAAGTGGGAGGAACAAATAAGGTATGGCATTAAAACTTAATTTTGGTGATGAATTTGAAATTATGCATGACTTGATATACAAGTCAATAGACACTTTTAGGATATAAACAGATTTAGTAAATAAAATTGACTGTGGCAGAGCTGAATGCAGATGTACAGTTTTTATAATTGTCTTTTGCAAATAGGGTGGTTTATATTGTGAGACAAATGTAGACCATTAGTTCTCAATGTTTTTATTTTTTCAATAAAATTTGGGATTTTTCTGAAACAAGAGTTCATAGCTGTCAAGTATGGATTTTGTCAAAAGAGCTAGTCATTTGGTATTAAGGACGAGTGCCTTGAACTGTCAAGTAGATTGTTACAAATATAATAGTAATGTTGCAAAGAACTACTTCAGTCATAGCAGGTGGCAGTCATCACATAATTATGTACTTTATTAAGAAGTGGCTGTTTTGGAAATCCAGGCAAGATTCTGCTTATTTTCTTTAGTTGCTGAACAGTAAGAGGGGAAAAGATAAGCATGCAACATTTATAATGTCTTTCATCTCTACCTTTTCTCATTGTTACAATTAATTTAAAGGAAAAATACTAAGTAGTTACAAATGTGTATGTGAAATATACATCATATAGGCTGACAGATATAATGGATTAGGGGGCTTTGCTGCCTGCACATGGTCTAAAATCAGGGCATTAGTTTTACTTGATCAGTAACTCTTTCAAGTGTATGGCTTGTGGGCTGGGTGCACATGAATATTCCTGTGTGGTGTCAAGACTCCTTGCCTCCCCTTTGCAATATTATTATCTCTTTTTCTGCATATGCCTTTTTTTTTTTTTTTTTTTTTTTTTTGTCATTTGATATGCAGTATCCAGATGGTAATGGAATGTTTTCCTTATGCAGACTCCATATCATCTCTCAGTGCAATAACAGTAACATGAGTATGACTCTTCCAGCTATGGCTCATATTCGACACTCCTTTACCAATGGAAATAATGCAAGAGCCACTTCTTTAAACCCAAATGAGTCTAATCACTGTCTAAGTCAATCCCATCACCTTGGCCTCCAGCCGAAAATCTTATGACAGCTTTTTTCCTAGCACCCTGACCCTGAGCCAATTTTTTCTATGACAGCATGTTCACATTGTCCAGCCCTCAAACCAAAATTTTCAGGATGTGATGGTCACGTCACCCAGATCCAAGGGGTTAATATAACTGAGTAATAATTATTTCATTATAAACAGTAACTTGAGGCAATAATTAGAATTTTTTTTGCTTTTATTGCAGACAATTTAAGGCCACGTGTCAAGCCTGCAGATCTCTTGATGCATGTATAAATCTGTGGGTAAGAGCCATACCCCTTGTGGCTCCTCCAAACAAGTGGATAAGTAAATGCATTTTGCCATTCTGTGCAGGATCCATAGAAGAGTTCAAGCTTTGGCCACTGGGAAAGCAGAGGGCAGCAGAGGTTGGTGTCATTTTTATATCATGTTATTTATGCTTATGGTAAGAGGATAAGATGAAGATAAATTAACTCATTGAAGCTGGGATGGCATGTACATACATGCAGTGTCCATTGTGATTTTAGTCTATTAATTTTGTTTGCACATAAATGACTTCACAGCAGATTAATCACCAAGGAGTCATTTGATAGTCCTACCAGATCTCACTTGTTTATCATTTTTCTTGTTATTCCTTTGATATTGCAAATCATATGAAAAGGTTACGTTATGAAGAAAAGGCTATAGAATCCTATAGAGTGAACATGTATTAAAATGAGTGAACATTTTGGAACAGACACTTACGGTAATACGCCAGTTACAGTGCAAAGGAAACATTTTTTTTTTCCCCATTCATACATAAGAATGAAACTAACATTAACTTGATTTTGATTAATGAAGCCCATGCCTGGGCAGATGGTCCCCTCTTTCTTTTTATTACTACAATTATTGCTAATATTTCAATGATAAAAAGAATAAGAATACATTTTAACAATAAAGATAGTAGTATTTCTTTTGAAAGTTCAACAAATAGAGTATATAGGTGAGATTGCGTTAGATGGTATCTGTGGGCAAACATATTCAATAAAACAAAACAGCAGAGGACAGTGCATGTATCTGGTGCCAATGGATGAAAAAAAGTTTTTTTGTTTTCATGCATTATTGTTCATTTGTATAAATGGAAATACTTTGATTTTTATGTTTATTATAATTTTACAAGTAAATTATTTCTTGCATAAAAACAACATAATTTTTAATTAGTCCTCTTAAAATGAATGGTGACCCCCAAAAATTATTTGATTAATTTTTCTTCTCTTTTTATTTTCTTATTTTTTTCCATCCTCATCTGTTTGCTTCAGTCTTCAGTCACATCAGATAATATTCTGTGTTTTCCTTTAGTTTCAGAGGGCAAGGGAAGTTAGAAGGCATATAAGTGAATGTGGTATAGAAGGCAGCAATTGGTGGACCACGAACAGAATAGTTGCATGGGCAAGGTGTCATGCTTATACTCCAGTAGAGCCTAGACCTCTACTTCAAACAGGTTTGCATTGTTTTCAGAGGGAATACAAGTATGAAATTATGTATATATAGAAAACAAAAACAAACAAAACTGAAATTTTAGGTTTGTGGACTTTTGGCCTTTCTTGTTAGATATTCATGTTCCTAAAATGTATATTCATTTTTTATTTTCAGATAAGCTTTTCTTACCATTAGAACAGCAGGTCTTTAGCACAATTACAGACATTGGAAATCTAGAAGAACGAGAAAGAAGTAACAACGAGCAACAGTTTGCACGTTCTACTCACCAAGATATTGATGTAGTCTCAGTAATTGAGGAGGAGAACGAGCTCACATCTCCTCACAAGTCTTCAGGTATAATTGTTATAAGGTTTCCATAATGAACAGTTTCATGCCTTATTTTCATATCTTATTTTCTTTTTAAAAATTTAACTTTATCCTTTCAGCCTCTCCATGGAAGGAGCAGTCTGTCTTCATGGCTTGGGAGGATCAAGAAACAGTTGATGGATGTGAATGGGTTGGACATTTAGCTTCACAGTTAAGAATTAATCAAACTTCAGAAGAGGTTTTACCTGGATATAGAGCAGATGTTGCACGTGCAACTATGTGGAAGGTTTGTATGGTCTATTGTGTAGTTTTGAAGAGTTTTAGTGTAATATTAGACCTTGTTCATTATAACTTATATCATATTTTGAAACCTTTACAGATTTATATATTATTCATTTATATGATAAAAGCTACTGGAAATTAGGTATTTTTCAAATTTCCTTGTAAATAATATTTAGGGCTAGAAAGAGAAAGATGTTAAACAGTAATCTAAGCTGCATCCTACAGATAAATATTGTAATTTCATATCAGCATCTACAGTAACTGTGATAACATTTCTATGTGTAATTTTTTGATTAACTTGATTTTTCCATGGTATTTCATTTTCAGGCAATGTTAAACTTAATGGAGGATCTACTGCGGTCTTCTCACAGTGAGGCCTGGGGAGATAGTTCTGAGGAGACCTCTGGTAGTCCACCTCTTGTTCCTCCAAAGGAAATCACACACAATCATGTCTTAAAAGCCTTAACTACGAAACGTCAAGAGTTCCAGTTGTTCACTAATTATGGACTCGGAAGCCTTTCATAATCATCAGATGCAATATAGTGTTTTTCATGTTTATAGATCTGATCTGTTCTGATATCATGAAATATTTTAAAAAGCTAATATGGTTCTACATGTAACACAGATAAAACAAAAAGATAAGCCACTTTTATTTTGATTACTTGTTGTAGATTAAAAATATTATATAACTTAAAATGGCCCACAGTTAAAAATGATAATCAGTATATTATTGTTTAATACTGTAATCAAACCAGGAGGATCTCTTTTGTTGTATTGTTGTCAAGGTTCATCACATAAGATTCATTCCATGAAGATCATATGGTAAAAAATCATATAATGAGAAAAGTTAAATGAGGAATCAAAATTAATTCTATCATTTATATTTTTCTGAAATATATGAGTAATATTGTTCATGTTCTTGTAAAATTGTTGTTGACTCATCTGTAGTACATCAAATTCCATAACTATCTGTGATATTCTAGATATGATTTATAAGTTTCATTGTTAAAAATCCTTATAAGAATAAAAAACTCAGGGTATGATTGTTTCATTAACTTTTTATTTTTTTTGTCTGTCTTTTGCTAATAAATGGCAAAAACACTCAATCTGCAACCTTTGCCATAGCTGTCATATTTTACTGCTTCTAGATGCTATAGGGCTACATTTTCATTACAATGTTTACTGTTGTATGACATACAAAAAGTACTGAAGTATAGTGGTAGTGATTGTAAACTTTTTGTTGACAGTTCAAAAGCAGTGATGAAACACAGGTTATCATTCTACATCTGAACATTCTTGCAGAAATGAAAAATACAAAGCAAACAGAAAAATGTATATATACAGTATCCTTAAAGGTGCTACAGGACATGATCAACATGCATTGAAAACTTGCCATACCAAACTAAATAAATGATGTTCATCAACTAGCCTATTTGAAATTGACTAATCTGGTTTCCAGACCCCCGTCTCTCCTCTGAGCATTACTCTCATCACTGCTTCTACTATCCGCTCCTTAATGCATGTTGTCAACATGATCCATTCCAAATCATTCATCCATGCCATTACTCAACCTTTAGAATACACCCCTTCCTCTCCCAACATCATCTACTCCATCTCACCTTCCTGGAGAGGCTTCATCATTTTCTACTCCTTTCTCCCTTATTAGTACTCTTCATCCTTATTGCCCTCCTTCCTGCTGTACTATCTCACTCTATACCACTCCCTCTTAGTCCCGTCCTTGTCCTGTTCCTACTTCCACCTCTGCAAACCTTTTGAATACTCTTTTAACCGAGCCAAGTGGGACTGACTTGCTCTGAATACCCTCCTCTTCCAACAATGTCTCCAGAAACAAATAGGCAAAGTTTCCTTCCGCAACCGGTCCTATAAACCACGCCTTGTCACAGTTACATCGGAGTCTCAAGCTCATGAATTATCTACACTGACTAACGTCACTGGCAAACTTAATCCTGCAAAGCCTAACTCCTCCCTTAATACTTGTATCGGAACTGTTTCCATCTCCGAGGCTAATAACCCCATGTACGACAAGGATTGATCAGACTGCAAATGACTTGCTTGGCTACCTCGTCAACTCTGATGCAGTATCATGTACAGTGCCACACTATTTCCCCCAGAGGCTGCCAGAAGTACATCAATATTGTCAATTACCTTCTAGAAACATGACCTCCCCCAGGTTTACACTGGCGTTGAGCTCTGCCCTGTCTAACCATATCAACCCCTCCCTCAGGAGTGTCAGAAATGTTGGCATTTTGGCCACCCTGCCAGGCACTGCCCCTC